TATAGAAGTTTCTATCATGTGTCATTGTATTCAAATTATTGTAAAAAAGTTTGAAATTTATCTAGTTAAAAGAAAAAGTATTTATAAAAATCATATAAATATAGAAGATGTGTGATTTATAATATGCTTTATATTCAAACTATTTTATCTAGATAATTATGTTTCATATCTTTTTGAATTTTTTTATTGCGTTTTGAAATATTTTAATTTCTTTCTCCTAGTCAAAAAAATATTTTTAGCTTCACATATGTTTGTAATTATTGTTTTATAAATTTTTAATAATAATTAATTTATTATTTATTATGATAACAATGTTATTGTTTATAAGTTGACTCGATTTTAAATTATTTATTCATTTTTATAAATTATAATAATTATTTATTTATGAAGGCACTTATATGATTATTTATTATTTTACATTAAGGAAAGCACTTAGATTTTTTTTCATGATTATTATTGTCCCTGTAAAATTATTAAAAACTTGTTAATCTTATTTAAAGTTATTGATATTATTAGTAATTTTTTTCTTATTTAAATTAAATCTTAGGCATGAAATATATATTAACCGGGGCCCATTTTTTTGTCCTGCCCCGGGCCTAGAAAATGATTGGACCGGCCCTGCACCTAGGTGCATGAATGTGGACCTCATTGAAAATTATACCACAAAATAGTTTTTAAACCAATTTTTCCAACAAGATCAACATTAAGAAAGAAAAAAAAAATCTATATATGTATATGAAGAAGTAATGTTTAATTTTTTTTTTTGGGATATATTTTGCATATTTTTAAACGTTGATAACAATTATTTAAATGTTAGTTGGAGATTTATAACATTTTTAGAGGAAATTGGAATAATAGAAACATGTTTAAATGAAAATTAGAAATGAAAATATTTTTCAAAGTTTACAATATTTTTTTATACAGAAAATTACGGCATCAACAATGTATCTCTTTATATATTAGAGTTTTCTCATACCCATCACCTACACAGCATTTAACTACCTCCATATTATCACTAAAAATAATTATTTATATACCTATATATTATATACTATATTTAGAGCAATAGAAAAAGACACAAACTAAAACAAAAATAAATAAATAAATAAAGTTGCGCATAATAGAAAGTTAGGTGGGTGAAACTTTGGAACGTACACATAATCTGATGGCTGAAACGTGAAATACAAATGTCTCTTATCTTTATTTATTTATTTGAAATTTAAAATTGTTACAAAGTATTTAGACATTTCACAATAACACTTTATCGCCAAGTCAAGCCATTTTTCCTCTATTTGCTTAAGTGAAGGAGATTTCTCCTCACTTTTTACACCTTGAATGTATGTGCCCATAGAAAACATGAAAATTGATTCTCCAAAAGGAAAAAGAGGGTAACAATACACCAAGTAATATTCATTTACTTTTTTTTTTTTTTTTGAAGTTGTGCACCGGTACGTTTTTTTACATTCAAGTGGGACTCACTACTTTTTGAAAATTAAAAATGAAAAAATTGAGTTGGAATTAAAAAAAAAAAAATGTATGCAAACTAATCAAATCCCTTAAAATTTTCGATTTGTCAATTGTCGTACTTCTAATTTCTAAACAACAATGACTATGGGTCATATGTTAGTCAAAAGATTTATAATGTGGCATTGTGGCCCTTATTATCCAATCCAATTCATCCAATCGTTATACCCTATACCAATGCGCGCGTAGCACTGTGCGCCTCTAAAACGACGTCGTTTTGGAAGGCGCGGTAGGAAGTTGTTGTGATTATGTATATTTGTTCATTCAATTATGTATATTTGTTCATATAATTATGTACATTTGTTAGTTATATTAATATTATTATTCTTATTGTGGGAGTCAGGACTTGCTCGGCTACATCGATGGGACCATTCCGTGTCCGCTGGCCACCATCGAAGTGCCATCATCCGGCGAGTCCTCTCCCGCGGCTGCTACGGTTGTTGTCACTCCCAATCCGGCGTTCAAAATATGGGAGAAACAAGACCAATCAATTTTGTCTCTCCTCGTTTCCGCGATGTCAGATGAGGTTCTTCACCTCGCGGTTGGGCGCAATACATCGGCAGAAGTTTGGACGTCGATTACGCAGGCTCTCGGCTCGTCCAGTCAGGCGCGATGCCTTAGCCTTCTCGGGCAGTTCTAGATGCTACGCCAAGGGAATGCCACGATCGCCGACTATCTAGGCCATGCGCAGATGCTTGATGAGGCTCTTGTTCAGGCTGGCCGGCCGCTCTCTTTAATGGAACAAAATTTGTATGTGTTCCGCGGGCTCAGGCCGGAGCTCAAGGCCATCGCAACCTCTCTCACTGCCTCCGGGAATCCGGTAACGCTCGCTCATTTATCTGACCATTTGCAGGCACACGAGTTCATACTCGTGGATGACTACCCCTCGGCGGTTGAGCCCGGCGTTCCGGCGACCGCCATGTATGCTGGCCGAGCACCGAACAATGGCGGCAGGCAGACTCAGAACCACCGTGGGCGCGGTGGGCGCAGAGGACAGGGGCGTGGCGGACGTGGCGGCCATAATGGGAATCGGAGGTGCCAAATTTGTCGTTCGCATGGTCATACGGCTGTGTACTGCTTCAAACGGTACAGTACACAGCCGCCTCAAGCACACATAGCCGTATCCGGGGAAGCTCCGGCGTCGTCGACTTCTGGCTCGGGCGACGGCTGGTTCCCGGACACTGGCGCCACCGCACACGCGACTCCGGATGTGGGAATGATGCAGCATTCCGAGGAGTATGGGGGAACCGATGTGCTACGAGTTGAAAACGGGGCAGGGTTTGGCGATCTCGCGAGTCGGTCGTGCATTAATTCCTTCTGTATCTAAAAAATTATATCTGTCTGATATTTTACACGTACCGAGTTTGTCTGTTCCACTCTTATCCGTTAACAAATTTACATCTGAAAACATGGTCTTCTTTGAATTTCATTATGACTATTTTTTTTTGAAGGACTCCACAACCAAAGCAGTTTTTCTTAAAGGTCGTGCATCGGGCGGACTGTATAAGCTCCCGGTTTCCCGGACACATCATGCGTTCTTCAGTTCCCGTGCTACGCCCACTGTGTGGCACCGTCGCCTTGGTCATCCCCACAAAGTCGTCCTAAATAAAATTCTACAGAACTGTCCGGTTGAGTCCAATAAAGCCGAGTCCGTGGAGTCATGTGCAGCTTGCCACCTTGGGAAATCAGCAAGATTTAAATTAGATAGGGTCCCAAATAGAAGTGAAAATGTATTAGATTTGGTTTTTACCGATATATGGGGTCCGTCACCTGTAATATCTACAAATGACTTTCGTTATTTCGTTCTATTCGTGGATGATTTTTCCCGTTTCTGCTGGTTTTACCCATTAAGGGTGAAATCAGACATTTATAAAATCTTTGATTCATTTCGGGTCCTGGTAGAGCGACAATTCTCGCGCTCTATCAAATCAATTCAGTCGGACTTAGGGGGTGAATACCGCAAACTGCACAATACGTTTCAAACACTGGGAATTAATCACCGTCAGTCATGTGCCTATACACATGAACAAAACGGCCGTGTGGAGCGCTGGAATAGACACATTGTCGAAACCGGGCTTGCTTTACTAGCTGAAGGCAAAGTCCCGCAACAATACTGGACTACGCCTTTGAAACGACTACCTGTTTAATCAACTTTTTACCTTCGTCTGCTATACAGTTTAATAGTCCATACACTCGTCTCTATAATACACCACCACCCTACACTTTTCTTCGTGTCTTCGTGTGTCGGTGCTACCCTTTCTTACGCCCATATAACAGGCATAAGATTGAGTATCGCTCAGCACCCTGCGTCTTCTTAGGTTACCCAAACTCCTTTAGGGGATATAGATGCATCGACTTGGCGAGTGGGAGAACCTACATCTGTCGCCACGTCCGATTTGACAAAAATGTGTTTCCTTTTGAAATAGGTAGTGTGATGCAGGCACCACCACCACCACCTGCGGTGCCTTGGGCTTCTGGGCCCATTATTCCGTACTCTCCACTGAAATCTGAACCGCCTGCACACGCACCGACACCTCCTCCCTCAGGTCCTGAACCTATGCCTTTGGCTAGTATACCGCCACCTTTGGCCATTACTCACACCGCACCTGCCAAGCCGCGGGCTCGCAAGGCTCGTACTCAGCCTCTAACCCGGGATCATGTCATGCGTCTTCGGCATATGACTAGAGGCACAGATGAGCCGTTTCAGGCGTTAACAGTAACTACTGATCCATCTTGCTACTCCCAGGCTGTCGGACACCCTCATTGGCGGGAGGCGATAGATCTAGAGTTTAATGCCCTGTTACATAACCATACCTGGCGGTTAGTGGCACCGGAACCACATATGAATATTATTGGGTGTAAGTGGGTATTCAGGACCAAGCGCAATGCCGATGGCTCGGTAGAGCGCTATAAAGCACGTCTTGTTGCAAAAGGGTTCAACTAGGTAGCGGGGGAGGATTTCTTTGACACGTTTAGCCCCGTGGTCAAACCCACCACGGTGCGTATGCTTTTCTCTCTTGCTGTGTCAAACAGGTGGACACTACGCCAGTTAGACGTACACAATGCCTTCTTAAACGGTCATCGGGCAGAAACAGTGTATATGAAACAACCCCCAGGCTACGAAGACCCAACTAATCCTGGTCATGTTTGTTTACTACAACGGTTTCTCTATGGCCTCAAACAGGCTCCCCGGGCTTGGTTTAAAAGGCTACAGGATTTCTTGCTTTCTACAGGGTTCAGGGCTTCTAAAACTGATGTCTCCTTGTTCTACTATACTAAGGGGACTTCTCGGGTTTACTTACTGGTCTACGTAGACGATATTATTATGATGAGCAAATGATTCTGTTTTGGTTCGTGACTTATTGCAACGTCTTGCCCCGGTCTTTAAAATCCGAGATCTTGGAACACCAGGTTTTTTCTTAGGGATTGAGACGGTAACAGATGGGGATAATATTGTTCTTTCACAGCGCCGATATATGTCTGATTTACTTGGTCGGTTAGGCATGATTGACTGTAAACCTCTGGCTACACCAGCTGCAGTCACCAAGGCCGTTACTCTTTCTGACGAGTTGTTTGACAACCCTACACAATACCGTCGTGTTGTGGGGGCTTTACAGTATCTCACCATTACTCGACCAGACTTGTCATATGCGGTAAACCGACTATGTCAATTCATGCATGCGCCAACAGTTGATCATTGGAGTCTGGTTAAGCGGGTACTACGTTACATTAAAGGGACGATACACTACGGGCTACGGTTAACACCATCTTCTTCGACCACTATACATGCTTTTTCGGACTCCGACTGGGCCGGGTGTCCAATAGATAGGAAGAGCACGAGTGGGTTTGCAGTTTATTTGGGGTCAAATCTCATTTCCTGGTTATCAAAGAAGCAGCGTACCATTGCCCGTTCGTCTACCGAGGCTGAGTATAAGGCGCTGGCTGATGTTTCTGCCGAAGTTACTTGGGTGGTTTCCTTGCTACGTGAACTTGGGTTACATTCTGGTCAGCCAGCTACCTTGTGGTGTGATAATCTTGGGGCTACCTACCTCTGCGCTAATCCGGTGTTCCATGCACGCACAAAACATGTGGAGATTGACTACCATTTTGTTCGAGATAAGGTCGCCTCCGGAGATTTCGTCGTCAACTATGTTTCTACTGCAGATCAGCTAGCAGACATCCTCACCAAACCATTACCTGCTCCTCGCTTTGCTACTCTACGGGACAAGCTAAATGTTGTGTTGCACCAGCCATTAGCTTGAGGGGGTGTGTTAGTTATATTAATTATTATTCTTATTGTGTTACAATTGTAATAGTCAAATATTGTTATAGAATAGTGTAGTTAGTTTAGACTTTTACTGAGCGTTAGTTAGAGGTCTATTTCTGATATACTTGTAGCTCCTATTCTGTTGGTTAATCTAATCGTCGATTCACATCTTTCATCACATTTTTTATAAAATTATGTACATTTTTTTATACAATTATGTACATCCGAATAAGGAAATTTTTGTGTATTATGTTAAGAGTTGATGTGTATTAGATTAAAAGTTTATGTTTATTATGTATTATGTTAGATTATGTGCATTATCTTTTAAAAAACAGTATGTATATTTTGTTATACAATTATATACATTCATGTATACAATTATGTACATTCATGTATAACATTATGTACATTTTTGAACATGGGGTTTTTAAAAAAAAAAAAAAAATTAACTGCCAAACACTGGGGCGGGAAATTTCAAAAAAAAATTAAAATTAAAACGACGTCGTTTTGCATCTGGGCGCACAATGCAACGCGCGCCGTGGTGTAGGATATAAATTGCCCAATTCATCATTATAAATGCATCGCACAAGGTGGATCCGAATTCAAATGTTCACAATTTACATACTAAATGTTCACAATTTATCTTTTAAAAATGTACAATTTGTATACTACAAACACACAATGTTAATATATATGCAATTGATTACCTTGTTTTGTATTCACAAGTTCCTTTCAAATACTGCAGCCACACAATATTAACAGATTAGAATTTGATGATCATGCATTGTATTCACAAATTTCCTTGTACAATTATTATGTGGTTTGATTTAGAAACACAATTTATATTCTAGAATTTTATAATTCCAATACTAAAAATACATCATTTATAAATTATTTAAGACAAGGATTTACCTTGTAAGGTGGAACCTGGTACATGGTTTAACAACTCACAACAATGACAATGGGTCATAAGCTAGTCAAAAGATTTAGAGTTCTACTACATAGATTCCCAAAATTCTACTCCCTCATTTATACTCCCTGAGGTGGCAAATCAGGATTGGTTATTTTCATCATGTGGGTCCACAGAAAAATGTCTACATCAAGAGCATGTGAGAGGGAGTACAAGTTGGGAGTTTAAAATGAGAGTACACCAAGTATTTTCCAAAGATTTATAATGTGGCCCTTATTATCCAATCCAATTCATCATTATAAATGCATCGTTTGCCTTTATTTCTACATGGAATTTTTGAATATCCATATTTACTTTTATGAGGTGCGGGTACTAATTACAAAATATATATATATATATATATATATATATATATATATATATATATATATAGATCGCATGCAACTGTGTCCTTAGGTGTGACCGTGCAGTTTATCTTTATTCATTGGATAATTTGGATTGCAGCAAATCAACACACTAGATTCTTTCAAATTCGCGCCTATGAGCTCCAATTCCGCGATGTGTAGCAACAATTTTGTCCGATCCTTCGAATTCAAATGTCAGAGACTCTTCGAATTCAACTACCGTACTCTATATAAATTTATGCATAGGAATCCCCTACCGTGCAGTTTATCTTCATTTATATGACGACGAACATGGCGAGACAACGACGAACAAATCCCCTGTAAGTGTACAAATTAGTACACATTAGATTGGCTAATTTATTACGGAGTAGTTTATTTTATTAATATGTGATGTTAATTAAATTGATTTGTAATTAGTATTATTGGACCAAGCTAAAATGTGTGGTGGAGATTTATTGTTAATGAATTGGACAAAGAGCAAGTCTGAAGATCTCAAGTTAAAGAAGATGTGGTTGAGAAGAATTCAAGCCACATGTGAAAGTTACAATCAAGGATTGGATGAATGGGAATTGCGTACAGTATATAAGGAAGGGAAAACGAAAGAGGAAGTTGTCAATTCTGAAATTCTGATCTCATATGCAAGCTTCCTATATTACTGCTTTAATATTGATTATATTATTTGTGATTTAAATCTGTACTTCAAATCAGTACCTGTGACAGCTGAAGTGCTACACCAAAGATGGTTATGGCATGCACGGTTCAGTCCTGAGTAGGTGTTTTAGAAGAGTTGTAGTGGTAAAGGCTGTGAGCCGTTTGTAGTTACCTCTTGTAATACTCTATGGTGAACATCTAGTGGATTGGGCAGACGTGGGTTGCCCCGCAGACGTAGGAGAAGGAGCTCCGAACTGCGTAACAATTTTACTGTGTCTTTACTTTATTTATGCTTTCAATTTCGTTATTTATACGTTGATTAAATTGATTTAATTAAACAGCGAAATTGTCTCGTAACATAAAATCAAGTAGAATCCTTAGTGTTAAATTGATTTCAAGATACACGGGCTTTTTCATTTGGTATCAGAGCCTCCAGACTTAAGTTATTAGTCTGACGATCTGGCTACTCCGTGCCCCTTGATCTCAATCCTTCAGCGGTTAGTATTATTATTTATGATTTTGTTAAATTGATCGATCTCACGGGTTATTGAGTGTTATAGAATGGAGCACACTAAAGCTCTTCCCCAGCTAGTCGGTGACAACTATGCGTATTGGAAAGTGCGCATACGTACTCATCTCAAAGCACAAGGTGAAGCAGTATGGTGTATCATTGTAACAGGCTAGGAACATCCAACCAAAGCCAGTACCAGTGAGGATGAAACTCGAATGACGAAACCTGAAAATGAATGGACCCAAGCTGAGAAAACAAGAGCTGGACACAACGATAAGGCACTAGATATTATTTATGGGCTAATTCATGAAAGTCAATTTCCTATTGTTGCAGGCCATGATTCAGCTAAAGGCGCATGGGAAGCACTAGAGGCTACCTACGAAGGCACATCGTCGGTAAAACAATCGAAACTACAACTGGTACAGTCAGACTTCGAGGAGCTCCGGATGAATGAAGATGAAACCATCATGACCTTTCACACTCGTGTGCAAGAGCTAGCAAATCGAGCTATGGTCCTCGGAGAACCGTTCACTCAAGAAAAGTTGGTGAAAAAAATTCTACGATCACTACCACCTCGGTTCCGGATGAAAGTTACAGCAATCCAGGAACATGACAACTGGGAGAAAAAGATTGTAACACAACTAATGGGGAATCTAAGAACTTATGAGATGGAAATCTTAACAGATCACACAAAAAAAAAAAAACAAAAAACAGTAGCATTTACCGCTGAAGAAAATAATTGTGAACATGACTTAGATGAAATAGGTGATGATCCATTTGTATTTCTTACTAAACAGTTTTCTAAACTTTTGAAACAGGTATCAAAAGGTTCACGAAACAAGAATATGCAAAAGGGGGCGTCATCATCTAAAACGAGTTCTAAATCCGGATCATCAACCTTCAAGTCTTCTGGTTCACGTCCAGGACAGTCCAAAGAGAAATCCACCAGTAAAGGGATCAGATGCTATGAATGTGAGGGCTTCGGACATGTACAAGCAGAGTGCCCCACCTATCTTCGACGCAAGAAATCCATGTCAGCAGTTACTTGGAGTGATGATGACTCGGATGGTGAAACAGGAGGATCTGATTCAGACGAAATTTCTGGTAATTTTGTTGCCTTTACTGCACATATGGCTGCTGGATCGTGTCATGAAGATGTTGCTGACTCAGAGGGAGGCGAGTATATCTCTGCAGAAGATTTAGAGTCAAGTGAATCATCTTTTGAAATTGAGTTTAATAAGTTGTATCCCAAATGGGCAGCACTAAGGAAAGAAAATCGTAGATTAACTAGTGAAATAGGGATTGTAACAACTGCAAAGAAAGTGTATCAAACTCAAATAGCCGATAGGGATTTGCTTCTTAAAGAGGCATTGTCCCAAGAAGAAAAACTGAAACAAGAGGTACAAACTCTGAAGCAGGAGCTGAACACCTACAAACGCCAAATCCAAATGATGGATACCACGTCTACACTTGATGAAATCCTTGAGTCTGGAAGAAAGACTTCTGCAAAATTTGGTATAGGTTTCACAGGAAACAGCTCAAAGGATAAAACGGTGTTTGTCAAAGCGTCAGGCCCTGGTCAAGGCGATATTCTAGAATCTAGCACAGCGACACGTCGCGTTGGTACAGTCAGATCACTCAAGCCATATTATAAAACCTATAACCCGGTATGTCATTATTGCAGGTTACGGGGTCATACCAGACCTGAATGCTACTACTTCTACAAGGATCAAAGAATGGAGAAGTTCAAACACAAGAATATCCAACCCTTTACAAGACAAATCTGGGTGAAAAAGACAGATTATGTCTCGTTCGTATCTTTCCACTCTAAAAGTACAGGTCGAGAAGAAAAATGGTACTTCGATAGCGGGTGTTCACGTCACATGACAGGATATGCTAAATTTCTGAGTAACGTAAATACAAGCAAAGGTGAAGTTACCTTTGGCGATGGTATAAAAGGACAAGTCACTGGTATAGGCACGCTAAACGTAGTTGGTCTGCCAAAACTAGAGAAAGTTCTACTAGTCAAAGGGCTTCATGCAAATCTTATAAGTATAAGTCAACTATGTGACCAGAACTGGAACGTGAGCTTCACCAAAAATAACTGCAGTGTCCTAGACAAAACAAATCAATGCGTTATGGAAGGTACAAGGTCAACTGATAATTGCTATATTCTCACTAACAATGTTTTGTGTTGCAGGATCAATATAGATGAAACTGAGCTTTGGCACCAAAAGCTAGGACATCTAAGTTACAGACTTCTTGACAAACTTGTAAAGATTGAAGGTGTTCGTGGATTACCCAAGCTGAAAGTCAAACCAACCATATGTGGTGCATGTCAAGCAGGAAAGCAAACCAAATCCTCTCATCCAGCGCAGCACACCATAAACACAAGTCACTGCTTGGAACTGATCCACATGGATCTCATTGATCCAACTCAAACAGAAAGTGTTGGGGGTAAGAAATACATACTAGTTTGCATAGATGATTATTCTCGTTTTTCTTTGGTTACCTTTCCC